CGGATACAGACGAGTGCTGCTTGGATTGATGAGGCAGATACAGCATCCATGTCGGTGCCAGCTTCCCCCATGGTCTCTGATGCTGATGATGAGGCGCCTTTACAGCAAGAGGCGCGAGGCTCGGTGCAAACAACGTTGGCAGAGGGCGAGAGCACGTCACAGCCAGTCGTGCAGTCAGCAGCACAGCCAACCCCCACGAAACACGCGCCAACCCCGTCGGCCTCGATCATTTGCGTGCCAGTACCATCGGCCTCGGGTTCAACCTCCTCTCCGGCGCGATCGGCTGCAAGCTCAGCCTCGGGTACACTGCGGCGTAAGCGAGTGCCGCTGGCTGCTGAAAGTACATGTGCCCCTGGGTCTGACGATCATGACGATGGCAACGGCGTCGCTACAAGCCCTGCTCCCTCAACATCCAAGCGAACGGCATCGGACGTCACGTGCACAGCTGCTGCTTCTTCAACAGCGGTTCAAGCAGCAGAGTCGCCTCTTCCCGCAGCAAAACGAGCAGCATCAAGTGATACGCGCACCGCTACCGTTGTCGCTACTGCTACCACTCGCTCTGAAGCCCCGGTATCTGCTGCGGCTACGCCACCGAATCGGCACAACGTCGCCCCAATATTTCGGCCGAAATCGGGGACAAAAAAAAAATATCTGATGAACTACGCGGCGGCTGACAAGTTTATTGGCGTTCTGAAGTTGATGGATGATTACTGCATGCGATGTACCATTCGACAGGCGAAACCCGTCCTGAAGGCCGGGCATCAATGCGTATCTAATCGTGGTTGCAAGCGGTGTCACTTCGAAGGACACGAGACAAGACTTAAAAAATGTTCAGTGCACCTCGCATACCCCGACAGAGCCTGTTGCTACGCTTGTGGAATGCCAAGGAAGATTCGTGGATGGGATACATGGGATCACCGTTGCAGGCAGTCTCAAGGACTGGATTCGGGCCTGAGCTGTCTCCTCCTTTATTCGGACTGTCATTCGGGGCTGCGCGACCTGTCCCAGCGGATGGGCTACAACTTGAAGGAAATGACATTGAAGGATTTCGATACGCGCGACTTGTTTGTCAAGTGGCTGTACTCGTCCGGTCCTTGTCCATTTCCAGGGCGTGGGCATTGGCGTCTTGTGGAATTTGTGTTTGAAAGTGCGAGGATCCTGCTCCCCAATGAGGCGAAAGCCCAAGTCGGCCCCGACAGTTTTCGCTAAACACACACAGAAAGCTCTTTTGAGAAGCACAGAACACAGAACCGAATGTCAGAATGTCATCATCTTTATTATCTT